TAATGAAGCTATGTAGATATGCAATGATTGGCTCCTAGAGCCCTGGTACCATGTACCAGGTATTACAAGAGTGCCTGGTCACTCTTCATGTAACTTGGGTACACTTAAGGTTTGTACCCCGTTACAGCTGTAGACCTCTAAAAGGGGGGTTACCAGCTGCGGGATTTCCAAGCCACCAAAGACGCCTTACACTGACCGCGTCTAGCTGCGGAAAGATAAATGCCTCCGGCATTTGATGAAACTTCCCATCCGATTGCCAATGATGAGCAATGCTTGTAGGATCAGACGAAGTCTCAGCTTGCTGTAAGGTTGTATGGCTCTGCCATAATCCAGCCTCCTCTAGAATTGACCGAATTGTAGTCCCTAGGTTATCCCTCGTGATACTGTGTTGTGTAACACACTTATCGTCTTGTAAATTAGAGAAACCATCGAAAAGGGAATCAGGTTAAGCGAGAAAGAAGGCGAATTGAGTGAGATGAGCTGCTTCAAAATGATTTCTAGGCAAAAATGCTACAGCAAATCAAGCTACGGGTGGACACGCTTTGTGATCGCGATGTGGATTTGGAAAATTACGTTACGGCGCGGCTGGAGGCACAGCGGTCAAGCCGAGCGTTTTCAGAGATATCTGGCAAGTTGGATGGTCAACAGAAATACGCCGAGGGTCTTGAACGGGATGTTATTATGCTTGAGCTGAAGCTGAAAGTCTTGGAAGCGTGTTGCTCGACCGAAAGGCGGATCGACGATTTCGTTAGTCAGACTTCACGTTCCCAACTGTAATTGCTCATCTGTTTCTTTCATTTGTCGAGTCACTAATGAATATTTGTATTAATATGCTTTACAGTTGATCAATCTACAAGGGCTGAAAGGGGTCGATTCATAACCGAGAGGGTCGAGAGATACGACCACGCCGCGGCTGAGTGGCTATATATGACCTTTGTTGATTATGCTCATCAGCGGAATTGAATCTGTCACGATGGAGACATTCTCGCGATGAACCACCGCAGCTTCCTAAATCTGCGCAACAGTATTCACGAGTACCTCTACCAGCTGGAGGCAAGGTGACAGCTAGATGTAACGCATTAGTTCGTCTTCAGAAAGCATAGAACATAGCAAGTACATGTCACCACAACATGTTAAAACCAATATAGACATTACTTTGATTCACAGTAGTCGTCTATATTACTGGCGAAGTGAACTTGCCAGATATCACGGAATAGCTCGACTTGACTGCTGTGCCTCCAGCCTCGCCGTAGAACTATCATTCCCCCAAATCCATGTCGCGATCGCAGAGATTGTCCACCCGTAGCTTGATTTGCTGTAGCATTTTTGTCTGGGAATCCTCTTGCATCTACTATTTCTCCTTTAGTTCGTCTTCTCTCTTGCTCAACGCCGATTCTTTCTTCTTCAAATCGGCCTTCGTTTTAGCCAGCACGTCTCCTTTCTTGTCCAAACCGCCTATATCCACAGTCTGTGTTTCCTTGGCCGAGTAGGTAGGATGGGCTTGGCTCAACCGCTGAATTTCGGCCTTCAACTTGGCAATCTCCAGTTCGTGTTCGACATCTCTGTTAGCGAGTTCTTGCTCCAAATATCCTCTTGTCTTCCCACGACCACAGTATATAACTTGCTGCTGCTGCAAAGCCATCCTCATCATCACAACGACATACCTGCCCTGTGCATGTAGGCGCTCCGGGTGCTAAAAAAGGAACGCGAGGAATTCTTGGTCTTCACTATCTCGTCGTATTTCACCGCCCTTTTGCCCTTGCTTCTTGCCGCTAAAAATTTCTTCGCTAGCAAATAGGTCTGGGAGGGACTCAGCTTATATCGAGTCGTCTGCGTCTTCTTGCTGATCTGTCCCTTGTCCTTCTCCATTTTTGACCACATTTCTGGTAGCACCTTGCAAGCCTGTTCAACTTCATCCCTAGTCAAATTCGTAGTTTGAACGTTTTTGTGTACTGCGTTGCGGCTGTATCTTGAGACGTCTATACGTCGCTGGGAGGTATCCTCTGGCACTTGACCCACACTTACACGCTTCTTAGGAGGGTGTGGCTGGTGTTTGTCGTGCTCCTGACCCCTTGTTTGCTTTGGTGTAGATGCTAGAGTGTCACTAGTACCTATGACGATCGGTCCCATTGGCATGGCTTAAGCAACGCAAATTACAAATCTCATTGTACTCACATGGTACACAAGTAAACCAACATGGTGTAATTTGAGACTACGAGCTCAAGTGAGACCACGAGCTAATGTGAGTCCGCATGGTCTCGCGCAAGAAACATAGAGCGGTCACTCGATTCCAGATATTAAAAGCGTGCGGTGTTGACCATTCATTGAATCTAGTGACTTCAACATTCTGCTTTTTCCATTTAGTATTTGTAATGGGCTCGCTGTGTGCCCACTACTTCGGCTTACACGTTAGCGAACGTGTATGAGGAAGCGT